CCATACCCGCGGTGAATGAGCTACTCTTTTCCGCGCTTGGTTGTCGTCTTGAGATCCATTTCCATCATCAGTTCTCGTAGTTGCTTGAAAAACATCAACAGATATGGTTGATTGTTGGGAGGGCGCACCTATATGTAATAAAGTTTTTGTTTTGATCCATCTGTTAGAATTGCACCACCACGCTCACGCCATGGAAAGCTTTCGCTCCCTTCACTTGTTTGTGTCCTCGCCCCATGTTCACCTTGCATTTGCACATTTCCCTTTCCCTTCGTTTGGTTTTGGTAGGTATGTTTAGAGGTCAATTTCGTGTCATTCGACGAAAATCCCACACCTCGACAAAGGTTGTCGATGAAAATACGAGGGCTGAGTCGGGTAGCATTTTCTTCACGTATCGGGTCCGGGTAGTTTTCCACGGGTAGCACGGGTACCCGATCGGGTAATGTTTCCATGGTAAGACCAAAATGCACACCGGCCCCTTCCCTTGCGCATTGGGTAGACATACGTGAATCATTTGTACACGTGCACTGTACATGATGTCATCTGCGACCTCGGGTTTTCGGGTACTATTCGGTACCCGACTACCCGAGGACCTCACGGGTAGCACGGGAACCCGACTACCCGTGCACGCCACTAGAAAATACCTTTCGTCTAACCTGAGAGAAGAAGAGAAGTTCACACGTCGAAAAGGACAGTCACCTAATGGGCCAGTCAACGAAATGGCTTGGGGACGAACAGGATTCGACGAACAGTCGTTTGTCGAAAATGTTTTCTGCGAACTGTCGTGGAAGCGTAAGTGCGTGAAATAGAGTTGAATGAAGAAAGCCGTAAGTGCGTGAAATAGAGTAAAGAAAAAAGGAAACGGTGGCTGCATTCTATGCCATTATGTGTTGCAAAAGAGGCTGCGAAGAGTACTGTTGAACATTGCAAAGGAGGCTGCCTGGCGGCATGCCGCTGGAAGCGAATTCTACCTGTCAGCAGTAGGCCTCGACCAAATATGCTAAAAAAGAGAGCATATTATGCTCGTCGCATATCAGGGAAAACGTCCATAATATGCCAAAAGCGTAGCAAGATTGCAACAAGATATGCCAAAATATGCTCGACATAAGCAGAAAGTGAAGATCATTTCAGTAAAATTACAATATAACCTGTATACATTCTCTCGCCGTGTAAACTTGAAGCTGTTTGTGTTTGTTTTTAGGTGTCTATCTCGTTGCACCAGTCCTCTTTTAAGCACGATATCGCCTTCTGTCCATGTAACCGCCATCGGTATTCATATGTTGGCCTATTTAACATTGGCATGCTCTGAGGATTCGTAGGCATGCTAGGCAATTTAAATATTATCCTGCAAAGTATTTTGTAGGTGCGTGACTACTACGTCATGTACTACAATTGGTACATGACTTAATGATAGCCATCTGGCATGGTACAATAACTTTTTTTTCTTTTTTTTTTAATGGCTTTCTCTTCTTCCTCGAATGGTTTATAATCTGCATCACAATTATTTGTGGGTTCAGCAATAAAGGATGTCACTACTACTACTACTGCTGCTGCTGCTGCTGCTGCTGCTGCTGCTGCTGCTACTACTACTACTACTACTACTACTACTACAACCTTGGAATATTCATTGGCTTCACGGCTATCATGCTTATGGTGCAAATCAAAACACATGCGGAATAGTATGGCTGGGGTGTGTCCCCAGCAACCGTAGCGATAGAGTTCATCCATGGGGAAATGTAGCAAACGCCTCAACCATTCCAAATTCATCCATAAAAGGCATTTCTGAATGCATTTTTGTGGATAATATGAATATTTTGTCCTCATTTTCTTCAGAATATTTGAATTATATGCTGGCTTCATTCCAATATTCCCTTTGTCGCTCAATATGCCATATATGAACTGTCTCACAAAAATATGCGGAAATATGGGCAAGCATATTTGGTCGAGGCCTATAGTCCATTCATAAAAAGATGGGTCCTGGCTCTGGCGAGCTCCCGTATTTGGCGATTTTTCGTGATTTCATCGTACACAGAGCAGTGCTGCGAACTTTGAAATTTGAAAAAGGGTCCAAAAAGGGTGCCCGAACTGGGGTTCGAACCGCAGAATGCACTGTTGCAGGCGGGGTCAAACGGCCTGGATTTTGATGGTTTTTCCAAATTCAGTGCTTTTGGGGCAAAACCTGGCCGAAATCCTATTCTTGCTATGGCTTGCTTTTTGGACAAAAAACTTCAGAAACATAATTGGAAGAGGATTCCATATGGGATTGCAGGAAAAAATTCTAAAAAAACTCAACGTTTGACCCATTTTTGGCCAAAAGCTAGAAGTTCATTTTTTTTCTGAATGGACTGTAGTCAGCAGCCAGGTAGGGCAAAGCATAGAAACTGTACCGTGACAAAGTCACAAAGCATTATGCAGGGCTAAAGCCAGGGTGGACTGTCCCCTGGTCAAGGCATTGGTATGGTTGCTGTTTGATCTATTTACAAAAAGCTCGGCAAGTAGAGGGCTGCGGCGGCCATGCACACATTTATAGATAGGGAATATTTTTAGGTTATAACGGATGGCGACAGGAAAGATTTTGTGGCGGTGACAAATGGTGGCTGTTGGGTGGCATGGTGGGTAGCCAAATGTTATCCTGAGGCTACGCTTGAAGCATCGAATGAGTGCGTTGTATACGGTGGCTGATATCGTGTGAACGTAGCAGTTGCTGGCGTACTCCATGGTGGATTGGATAATGCTTAGGTAAAAGGAACGTTGTGCATGGGTGGTGATGTGATGTCGTATTCTGCGGAATGCGGCCAGCTTACGGTTGACGTCAGCAACAACTTTCCCGATCTGCTCCTTGAAGGCAAGGTGCGGGTTGTCTTCCGGTGGACGATTAATAGTTGCGTTTTATCGGGGTTCCGTAAGAGGTCCAGTTGAATGAGGTGTGATTTAACCGCATCGAAACTCTCTGATAGTCGGTCCTGTATCGTGTTGATGCAGCTGTTCGATGTGTAGAGTCAGTCCTATACCGTCGGCGTAGAGTCTGTTAGATGTACGAGTTGGTGTGACGTCTGTTACGTGTCTTGTGTAGATCGTGAAAAGAACGGGGCCCAGGACAGAGCCTTGAGGTACCCTCGACTACAGGTCCAGAGTCGCTGGATGTTTTTTGTGGAGGGGTTCGTCACTGACGATGAGCGCTTAGATAGGAGGCGAACCAAGACAGTGCTGTGCCACAAATACTGCAGGAGTAGAGCTCGTTAATGAGTGGCTGGTGCTTGACCCGGTCGAACGTCTTGCTCATGTCCAAGAATAATACTCCCGTGTACTGACCCTAATCCAAGCGTTGTTGCCAGTTTGATATAGCAAGTAAAGTGCATCCTCCGTGGAATGATCGGAGTGGTAGGCGAACTGTTGGGGCGGAAGAGTGTTGAGCTATGGGTGGGTGTTGATATAGCGCTGCAGTTCATGAAGGACGATCTTTTCTAGAAGCTTGGATACGATGGGGAGTAGAGATATGGGGCGATAGTTAGAGGGACATTCTGGATTGCGTTTCTTGAAGAGGGGGAATACGGACGCTACTTTATATATGTCTGGAAAGGAACCGAGCGAGAGTGATTCGTTGAAAATGAGACAGAGGGGACCGGCTAGTTCTTCTGCACAGATCTTCAGAGGAAGGGGTGGGAGTTCGTCAGATCCGGTGGATTTGAAAGGGGAGATCTTCTTGAGGAGCTTGCAGACTTCAGTGGTAGTGACAGGGGTGAATTTTGCGAAACTGGTGAGCTGTCGGGGGCCTTGGGGGATTCGCAGGGAAGGAGGTCGCTCTGGGTCAGAGACGACCGATCCAAAGAAGTTGGTGAGGCTGGAAACTTCGGCTTTGAGAGGTGTTGGAGTGGTGTTCCGACCAAGGAGTTTGCTGAGCAGTTTCCATAGGCGGCGAGGATCATTTCGGCAGTCCGATAACTCCCTTACTACATATTGATTCTTTAGGCGTTTGTTAAGCAGCGTGCCTTATCTTACTCTTCTTGCTGCACAGTACAGTTGCAAGAGCTGGGTGTCTGTCGGGTTTCTCATAACACCGCGGTGAAGATGTTTGCGACGGTGGAAGAGATGTGTTAGCGCTGGTGTACATCACGTGGAGTATGCGTGTGTGTGTGTGTGTGTGTGTGTGTGTGTGTGTGTGTGTGGGTGTGTGTGTGTGTGTGTGGGCATGCACACACATGTGTGTGTGTGTTTGTGCGCGCGTGTGTGTATGTGTGTGTGTGTGTGTGTGTGTGTGTGTGTGTGTGTGTGTGTGTGGCAGAAGCATGTGAGTGAGAAAAGAAATAATATGCTCAGTGGGAACACTTATAGAGGTCGATTGGCTTTCAGTATTGGAAGTGCACGCCTGCAGGCCTTACGGGGGTCGGATTTCACTTGCCACGCCTGCACTTGGTCTGAGACGCGTTACAAACACAGTAGATGTACTGAAACTGTAGTATAATGTCATGTAACAGTATGTTGACATACAAAAAAATATCTACTATTATCACTCCCTAGCCCTTAGTATTGACTCCCATAGATTTTTGTCATACCTAAGCAGTCAAATATTCCTGCATATTTCACTCCTTAGCGGGCTTACTAGTAGGGCTATTGACTGCTTATATTTGACTAATTTTTGAGGAGTGAATATCAACACGAAACTCGGAGTTACGAGAAAGATTTTGGGTCTCTGTTGTTCTGCCTTATGTAGTACACTCTGTCCATTTTGAGGTACATGTATTGCGCACTATTGACAGCAGAGAGTAGTACACTACCATAATACTACTCCCTGATTTGCAGCAAGGACTAAGACACTTTGACTAATGTTTAGGGATTGAACACGTGCTTTGGCTAGTCGAGATATATCTACCTTTGACTTCGTACTAGGTCAGTATGCAATAAAAACCTCGTAAAATACCTCGGCTTCACCTCGGACCTCTACTCGGCTTTTACTTCCCATATTGACCCGCGTACTCAGTCAACGAATTACAGAATGCACTCACATTGTCGGATGACGAAGAGCATAGTTTCCTTCACCATGGCAAATTTACCGCGCCTCTCCATGCTGGTACTTCTATCAATCACGGCGACCAACTCCAGTGGTGCCCGACCCGTCTCACTGACTTTGCTGTCTTCATCCTTCTGGTACCGAGGCGCTTGAACGCTGACCACCACCCACGTTGTCTCTTCGCTAGAGTACAGATGATACCATGGATACTGTCTGAATAATGACTGGCAGAACAATCGGATTTCCTTGGATGCCTGCCCAGATGAGACGGTTGCCGTAGACGTCATTCTGTCAACAATACGAGGACTTGCGTTGCAGTAAGCTCGACGACGTAGAATGTAGCAAAACTCAAACTGCCTACTGTTGTATTAGTACTAGAGAGTAGAATGAACTGATATTATTAGTCACTGCTACTTGTACTACTGGTTTCTCGCCCCCTTGTTGGACTGCTTGTGAGACTTACCACCTCTCCCCCGCCGCTAGGCGCTGCCTCTGTCACCATGCTATCTCAGGCGCTAGATGCGTTGGTGGCCTGACACAAGCCAAGGTTGGTGTGTTACTCAACACCACCAACACAGTTCGCAAACTTTACTAGTGTAGGACAATATTGGAACAGAAATAACAGCTAACGCGCTGAGAATTCTTGAGATCATGGCCTCGTGAAATGTAGAGCGTTTTGAACTTGGTGGTATTGTAGAGGAGGAAACAATCATTACAGGGTGCGACAGAGCTCTCGGCCATTGAAGAAAATGTTGAGTCACCTCCATCACCACGCTGCGCTGAAGGAGTTTATCAATATGGTCTACGGAAGTGTCCTCGCAATGGTGATGGTTGTGTGCAGGAGGGTCTAGTCGGCTGAAGAGCGCAGTGTGGTGGTGGAGGTGACTCGAGGAAACAATCATTACTATAATTCAATAAAATTATAAAGGCCTTTGACTTTGCCGAGCTACGGGGCTAACAGCAGAAACTTCAGTGCGTGTTTTATTGTAAAAGTGGACCGCAAAGAGTGGACTCGTGACACTCAAGTCTCAACTTTTGCGTTCTGTTCTCCTATGCAGCCTTTTGTCTTCTTCTAGCACCTCACAGTGAGTCACAGCAGATAGGACGGACGGAGCCATACACTAAACATATGAGGGGGGGTTCTACCTGCGCCCCCTGTACATGGAAGTGCAACCATGCATATGTAAATGTATGTTTTGTTTTGTTTTTTTTGTTTTGTTTTTTACAATGCAACACAATATTGTGGAAAGGTCACAACAATAAGAGACAAGATCAAAAGGAAAGCTTTACAATAATAATAATGAACAAAAAATTTGTACTTCGAACTAGTTTTCGCACAACACTCCTCAGGAAGCTACGTTGTACTAATGAAAAACAATCCAGAAAGATACTAATAAATAGAAATGGAGTGAGAAGAAACAACACCTATGAAAATGATAATCCTAGCACTAAGGTAATAACAGGAAAAACTGCGAAAGCACTTAACGAACTTGTAAGGACTACTAGTATACTGTGACACAAGATATGACACCATGGCCAACCAGAGCCAAACAGACAGAACAAGTTGCTACTAAAACGGGCTCTGGTTGGCCATGGTGTCATATCTTGTGTCACAGTATACTAGTAGTCCTTACAAGTTCGTTAAGTGCTTTCGCAGTTTTTCCTGTTATTACCTTAGTGCTAGGATTATCATTTTCATAGGTGTTGTTTCTTCTCACTCCATTTCTATTTATTAGTATCTTTCTGGATTGTTTTTCATTAGTACAACGTAGCTTCCTGAGGAGTGTTGTGCGAAAACTAGTTCGAAGTACAAATTTTTTGTTCATCATTTCTTCCATATCACAATAATAATAATAATAATAATAATAATAATAATAATAATAACATCAAAATTTGGTTCAGGATTTTCTTTTATCTTCATTGATTGGTGCTTCACCCTTGGGTCATATGGATCCCGGTGCTGTGCTTCATGCCTCCTTTCAAGCTTTCTTTTTCTGCTTTGGGAGTGAATAAAGTCGTCATAAAACGTAGCCTGTAAAATGTAAAGAGTCACTGCGTACAGTTATTCAATATCCATGTCCAGTATTTATAATAAAAATATTCTGCTGCAATTTATAGATTCTCACATGCGAGCAACCTGGGCCTCGGCAACAACCAGCTTAGCAGACTCCGGATTCCGAACCGATCGATCACGGAAAAGACCCCGTGAACCTCGCAAACATATGATGCATGATCGCAACAGGGCAAATGAGAGACGGCCATTATTTTTAATATGTCATTTCGAACTGGTACATTCCCACAGGATTGGAAATCCGCCATCGTGACACCGCTTTACAAGAATAAAGGCTCCCGTGCTTGCCCGGCAAACTACCGCCCCGTCTCTCTGCTGCGCACAGTTTCCGAACTTTGTGAGCGTATTGTATTCGATTCCCTCTGCCTGCACATCGCTCCGGCTCTCTCACCAGCTTAGTCGGGATTCTGCCGTGGTGACTCAACTCAATACCAGGTGACTCGACTTGTCCAAGACATAGCGACAAAGAGGAACTGTGGGGAGCACGTGGGAATGGTGTTTTTCGACTTGGCTAAGGCATTCGACACCGTTTGGCATCGTGGCTTACTTGCCAAGTTGGAGGTTACCTTCCGGGTGGAGGATGCTGCCTTGCGTTGGATATCCTCGTATCTGTCTGCTCGTTCTCAGGCTGTTCGCTTGTCCTATTTCTTGTCTGATCCCCTCCCTGTAACGTCTGGAGTGCCCCAAGGTTCCATTCTGGGTCCTTTGTTATTCTTGCTTTACGTTAATGACCTACCTTCAGTTGTCCCCGATGTTAGTTTGTACGCGGAAGACACTGGCCTTATCTGTTCTGATTCCTCCCCTGCACAACTACTCCTTACCATGCAGCATCGCATCAACAGCACTGTCATGTGGATGCAAACGTGGAAACTCCAGCCCAATTTAGACAAGACAGAAGCCATGTATATTTCTTCATCCCCTCCTGATCAACCATTATACTTCCCTGACTCGACTATGTCTATCCGTGTTGTTACTCAGCACAAACATCTAGGTGTGATGTTTGACTGCAAACTCTCTTGGGCTGCACATGTCAACTGTGTATGCAAGCGAACCAGTTCAGCATTAGGGGTACTACAACTACATTGCACTTATTTGCCCATCCAGTGTAAACTATTATTTTATCAGTGCTATATTCTCCCTATATTCGACTATTGCGATACCGCTTGGTGTGGCCTTTCTGACACAACTCTGAACCAATTAGAAGTCCACCATAGATTTAGACTTAAAATTCTTTACAACAAGGATCGATGTTTTCCTTCGGATGCCCTTTATCGACTTGCACACACTTCTCCTCTCTCCGTTCGTCATAAGCACCATCTCAGTACACTGGTTCATAAAATATTTCTTCATAAAACCCCTTCACACATGATGAAGTACAATTGGTTTTCGACAAGCTCAACCCGTAACGCGCTCATCCTGCCTCTTGTTAAGTCAGCCCAGTATCTAAAGTCCCCTTTGTTTTCCGGCTACTCTCATTGGTTATCATTACCATACGGTCTGAAAACTTGTTCTTCTATTGGTCAGTTTAAAGATCTACTATCACAACTGAACTAGACGAATAATTATCATCGAAGAACATTCTCGAATACCTGGGTGATGCACGAATTTTGATAGTGCTCACTTCCGTTAATCGTTTTTCTTTGTAATTTTTCCATTCATTTTCTGTTTTAATTCATATTTGCTTTGTTTTCCTAGCTTACTATTGCCGTGGCTGGCTCAACGCCCTTGTCTCAGGGGATTCTGTCCCTGCATTAGCTATGCTTGTCACATGCTATGAGATTGTGTCTAATAATAATAATAATAATGTAAGATATGACGTGGGAGTACTGCTCCTTCCTCCTTTCCGCTCTCAATAACGCGATTCGGCGATAGAGTGATGTCGCTGCTCTTCCCATGCCACCACTTGCCGACAGCACAACAGGCATGAACGTCGCATGCTCCACCTCTCTCACTCTCTCTTCATAGCATCGTCGCTTTTCTTTTTCATGGCGCCGATAGACAGTGGTGTGTGTTGCAGATCGATTTGAGCGTGCATGAGGATTAAAAACCCGTATATCAAGTAAAGTACGCTCAAAACGACTGCCCCACAAACCACTGACCGCTACATCAAGCCGCGCATGCGCCTCTACAATAGCAGACGTGTATCTCATTCTCTCTCCAGTGAGTGGCTGCAGCAGTGGTTCGATGGAGACATTGTGAAAGGTCGCTTGAAGGAGAGAGGCTGTCACATCCCGGATCTCATTATGGCGGATAATGGTAAAACCACCAAGGGGACATGACAAGGCATGGTCAAAACCATTGTCCCTCCCACCAGAGCAATGCGTTGGTAACCTCGGCGGCATCCAACCATAACGGAGGCACAAGCCGTCTATGAACTCAGCTTTGCTCAGTGAAAAGACTGGGGGTGAACAGTTCCATAGAATAGCAGTTCGGAACATAAAGAGAGACTTAGACAATGATTTAAATTTGAGAAGAATGATTCTATTTGGTCGTCGCTCACTATTCGCAATATTGAAATGGAAATCAGCAAGGTAATCACCTCCTTGCTCCCCCCCCCCCCCAATCCCGCACTACTACCGTATACTGTCTGCACGACACTTGTACCGGTACTCCCCATGCTTACAATAATATTGTAATCATTATCATGTACCTGGGGAGCCCTACATTATGAAGATGAATGGGGGGGGGGGGGGGGGCGCTCCTTGCTCTCCCCTCCCCGCACTACTACATATACCATAGTACTGTCTACACGGCACTTGTACTTCCCATGCTCACAATATGTACTGGTACATGTTCATATACATGCACAATACTCACTGTCTTTCACTGTCTTTCACAGCCCCAATGGTGGATTTCCGGGAATATCGCGGTGAATTTTGACAAAGATGTACATGACATTGTACTTCTCCACAAAAGAGGCCTGGGATTGCTTTTGTCCACGGTGACATGAGTTTCATGCACATTGTGCAAGTATCATAAAACCAATGCTACCAAGGCAAGTGCATTCCACTCTTCCACTTCCCAAGTGCATTCCACTCCAGTGTACTGGTGTGGATCTCAGAATTCAAACGACGATTATTTGTTCATGACTGTTCACATATAGCCTACGGTACGTTATCTCTATGCCTATGGGCTGCAGCGCGGAATGGGACATGTACATGTAAGCACAACATGCATTCATTGCATTCGGCCTCGGAAATGACAGGAAACAACGAATAACGTCACAAAGAAGTGAATTGTAAAGCGAGCTGAAGGGGTTTGGTCGAGGGACATCCCAGGTGCCTGGGTTAAGGTCATTTTTCTTTGAGGGAAAAGGCAATCCATTTTCCTTAATGATAAAACACAAAGCAATACAGAACAATGCAGAACAATATACTTCGTAGATTATTTGTGAACGATCCGTCCTCGAAATGAATCTCCAAAAGATTTACACAAACATGGACAATGAGATTGTAATACATGAAGATGCGCAGCGCTAGACAGCCTGGTTAGTAAGGTGGGACCATGAATGTCATTGGCAGTGGAACTACGAATCTTGATCAGCCCTACTGCCAATGCTGAGCATCTGATCAGACTGGCATCATCGTGAAGAGACGGATAGGCTTTCCCTTTCAGCTTTCCATTTCATGACCTTGCCTGGCTGCAACATGCATCAGCTCTCAATATCCTGGAAATGGGTAAATAGCGGATGGATTCTTTCTGATAATGTCTTTTTTCTGCACGCGTAGGAGGTGGACAACAGAGAACATAAAGAGTTTTAAGATCTCAGATGGTGAGCAAAGGAATAAATTTGTAATGTGGAAATAATTTCGAAATGTGGAAATAATTTCCACACTACATAAAGAGTAGTTTATAATGACTCATTATTGTTCGGATGCAGCAAGATAGGCATGCCTATCGCTGTCGGAGTCAGTGTGAATGATCATGAAGAACTGCGTAAGAATAGCTTGCATAGTGATACTGCTTGCACGTATTTCACAGAATTTTTCCCTGGGGTCTAAACATTTACAGTACTGCTATGATGCAAGTCGGACTTTTCAGTACTTTCCGGGGCACACTTTCAGAAGGATGTGAATACACTTGGAACTAGATGAACAGTCAACTTTGCTAATAACGACTGCGGATATAACGACAATTTGCGAATATCGACAAAAATTCCATGCCCATTTTGCAAAGTCCCATCTAACTGTGGTATATATATAATTATAATGAGACTTCGGGTATAAGGACACTTTTCTGATGCCCCGCGGAGTGTCATTATAAGTGAAGTTGACTGTACACTCCTAGTGTCAATTACTTGATGCTTCAACCATAACTACCTGTAACCAACAACCTCACATCTGCAAAATTATTTCAGTCGCAGAATAATTACAGCAGCAGGATACCAGCATCATCACAAGTAGCCCTTTCCCAAATATGCTCGCCACTTTTTTCGCAACTTTTCGTTGTTTAGGAAGAAATCGCAACTTTCTTCATTTTCGCGAACTATTTCGCAACTTTTCCGCAACCTTGGCCCCATGGCATGGGGTCAAAATGTCAAGTCACCGACTACATTTCAGACAAATGCATACTCGGTCATTTCTCGCCTGCCTTCAGACTCATTTCAGAGACACTGTAGATCAATGGTAGTTACGATAAGGTGCATTCCCTTTTCCGCGCATTGGAATGATGTAGGATGCAGGCAACAGGCTACTGGCACTGTGTAAAGTGGTGGTTCACAGCAGGAAGGGGTGTACGAGTGTGCTGTCGCTGCGCTTCTGCTGTTTCTGCTCCTTTTTTTGGTGATTTTGCACAAGAACTCTCCAATTTTTAGTTGCGATATTAGCAACTTTTGAGCTTTATCTGAAAATATGGGTGCGATTTCAGCAACTAGCATTTGTTTTGACACGGTTGCGAAAAGCACAAGTTGCGAAAAAGTATGGCATCTTTGGGAAAGGGCTAATTACAAGCCGCACAACCCTGTTTATCTCAATCTTCACTATCTGGATGCTCAATTGTGGAATGGCTGCTGCGGGTCATGTATGGCGGTGTGTCAATTATTGTTTAGACTAGCAAGGATTGTGTGAACTACAATGTATGCCGTACAGTGTGAAAAAGACAGCATATGCACAAGCATACAAAGGCTGGATTTTACTCTTTAAAATCCGCCCCATACTTCACGGATGATCCTTTACGAACCTCTCCGGATGCTAACTCAGTCAAATCAAGCTGAAGTACAGCAATAGAAAATATCTAGGTCAGTGCACTGCTGCTGTCTAGCTCTGGATATACATGTACATGTACATGATTGTACAGTGTCATGGCTATCATCTTCAATCTCATTATTTCCTCTTGCAGAGATCTTTCCAGGATGCCAAACATGTTACTTAATGAGCAAGTAGAACCGATGTTTAAAAATTCCAAAGAACATGAGATGGATGCGTTCGTGCGGATCTGTAGCTCATTCAGTTGCTCATTCAGTGGGGATGTTTCCTTTCTCCATCTTCCTTCCCCTATTCCCGAATTCCTCGCTTTCTCATTATTGCCGTAGTTTTGCTGTCCCACTCATGGAATAGGCTTCCCCGTGGGAATAGCTTGCCACCTTCGAAAGAGTGAAAAAAGGAGATGATGTAGCCAGGGTTCTAGCCAGGTGAAATTAGTAGAGGGGGGGGGGGGGGCAGGGGATGCAGTTACCCCATAACCCTTTTTTTCCATTTCCCCAAAATGTCTTGCCACTAGGCATTAGCGGGTAACGCTAGCATTAAAACTAGCATAATGGGGGTGTTCGCAGAGGGGGGCATTGCCCCAGCATAACGAGGCATTTTTTTGGAGAAACTAGCATAATTCACGATTTTCAGCATCTCATGGCCAGAGAGTCGTAGAATACAGTACTCCCTGATCAAATGCCTATACGTGCCACATGACCATCCCAACGCAAACTATACTATTGCGTACAACGATGTTGCCTTCATTCGAGCAGAAGTAGTCTACCACCGATCAATCAATTTTTGCGCGCATATCTTTATACCTACTTTGGAAACAGACTTTTTTGCGTACTCTTCTGCGATTTGTTTGCTGTATTTGGCCATATATTGCTAGCATAACCCTTTGAGAGCCGATTGGAAATTTCAAAATTCTGCATATTTTCATGTTGTTTGGGACATAGAACGCGTTAAACTAGCATAAAAAGCATTAAAACAAGCATAATATCCTGTTTTTGCTGGCATTCTGAAAAGCATAATCGGCTGAGTTTACTAGCATTACCTGCTGATGCCTACACGCCACACAAATGCAACGTAAGGGGCTCTCCCAAACAAGTGAACCCTTTATGAACCCCCTGTTAGCGAACATCACCTGCATTTCTCGTTGAATGGCCTGAAAAACCCATAAAATCGACAAATTAGTACGGTTGCCACTTGTCACAAGGGGGGGGGGGGGGTGGGGCGGGATCAATCAGAGTAGAAGGGGCGGGGGGGGGGGGGGGGAGGGTGCTGCCCCTACCTCCTTTGGATAGAACTCTGTAATAATTAAAGGGGAAGTTAAGCCTAAAATCAAATTTTCACCAGTTGTAGTCTTCGTGGTGCTGAGTCGAATGGTCTTGGTCCGAGGAAGCTGAGATGCTCCCTTCCTCCTTTATTCCCAATCGAACTCGCGCACTTCCACTGAAACTGGGTGACTGCGCCCTACTAGATGGGGATTTGTATGCAAAATGTCACTAAAAGCGCCACGTCGTTCAAATAAAAGCATGGATGACCGCGATTGGCCCATATGTTGTAGTCTTTTGGACGCTGAGTCGACTGGTTTTGATCCGAAAAGGCTGCGATGCAGCGTTCCTCCTTTATTCCCAATCAAACATGCTTGAACAAGCGGTCACGTGCTCCTGGGTGCCCAAATCACCTGGTCACCGCGCCAGCAGGCGACAACTTTCATACCAAGGTTCAACTCGAGTTCAACTCGAGTGACAGACTGCACCCCAAAAAGGTCAGACAGGCTAGTAGTAGTAAGTTTTACCCTGCAGGCACAGTGCCCAGGTGACTTGTGTACGCAGGAGCCGAAGCCAAGTTGTCATCGGCACTGGAGATACTAAACAACCACCTTGGCTCCCTTGGCATGCAGATAAATACCGACAAAACCGTTGTCATGCAAATCCATCCCAAACGTGCCACAGGGAGTCAGCAACAACAACAAAGGCAACAACTGCAAATAACCTTGTCAAATGTCACTCTAGGGGAAGTGGAAAGCACCAGATGCCTAGGAATCGTTGTTGACAATACGCTGGCCTTTGAACAACACATTAACAATGTCGTCCGGAAAGCCTCACGGAAGATCGGTGTACTGCGCCGATCTTTCCGCCAGATGAACCTGTTTGCCCGCCGTACTTTCGTTGTCGGTGTTATTCAGCCTGATCTAGAATATGCTCTCCCTGTATACCTTTCTTTTATATCCGTTAAAAATAGAAACAAGCTAGTCTCACTCCACTGGCGCGCTGTACGAGTTGCTTGTGGCGCATCACCCCAAGCTAATATCACGCCACTTCTTCACCACCTCAATGTTTCCTCTTTCCAATATCGATCAGTATTTTTGTTCCTTGTATTCATTTTCCACTGTTACTGTATTAAGCCGGCTGTTTGCTTGCAGTCCCTCTTTCCCATCTGTATGTCTACCCGAACTACTCGCGGCTCAACAACTCGTAACATGAGTATCAATCGCTATAGATCTATGTCAGGCTTTCTGTCCTTTTCAAGGAAATCGGCTCTTGTTTGGACTTATTTACCAGACGACCTGAAGTCCTGCACTACTATCGCAGATTTCCGCGTCAAATTGGCTATTTGGCTAAAAGACAGCTTAACTCTTAGTTGTGATTTGCTTTCAAGCAATGTGCATAATCAGTAAATTGATGCTGCTGTTTTTGTTTTGTTTTTTTTGGTTTTCCGTTCTCGGGGCCTTCTATTCGGTACTCTTTGTGGTTGTACTTCTGTACTGTTGAGCTATCCGAATTCAAATAAACACTAAACAATAAAATAAAATAGGAGCATGTGACCGCTTGTTCAACCATGTTCGATTGGGAATAAAGGAGGAACGCTGCATCGCAGCCTTTTCGGACCAAAACCAGTCGATTCAGCGTCCGAAAGACTACAACATATGGGCCAATCGCGGTCATCCGTGCTTTTATAAGAACGACATGCGCTTTCAGTGACATTTTGCGTACAAATCCCAATCTAGTAGGGCGCAGTCACCAAGTTTCGGTGGAAGTGCGCGAGTTCGATTGGGAACAAAGAAGGAAGGGAGCGTCTCAGCTTCCTCGGACCAAGACCATTCGACTCAGCACCCCGAAGACGACAACTGGTGAAACTTTGATTTTAGACTTAACTTCCCCTTTAAATGAACGCATTCGCCAAACTACATGTAGAATCACTGCAGTACCATAGACAATTCATTAGCCTAGTTACATTGCACAAGTTAATTTTCAAATACCGGAATACCTTGGCTCAGTTCAGTTTTTATATTTCCCGTAGTGAGAGACGCCTCAAAAACATTATCCTCCCCAACTTGACAACATCCAAATCACTTTTTTATTATTCAAAACCTCCCTTTTATGGAATTGTCTCCCACCCACATTGACTTCGGAATCTTCTGTCCATGTATTCAAGAAAGAGCTGCGCAAACATTCTTGTCAGTATTCAGGTCTACTCGCTGGCATGCCGTTACCCTGTTCATCATCTAACCTAAGACCATCGCCAGAAACTTTTTTTTAAAGAAGACGTTCCAGTGATGTCGTATACAGATGCACATACAGAATGAAGTTAAGATGGCATATCTCGACGCAGTTCACACATCCAGTCAGGAAGATGCTTCTCATACCGTGTCGAACGTTTTCGTTTCCTGCTTTTCCAGGATTGTATGCGGGAATGGCTCAAAATCTGGATGTCGTGTCCTAAGTGTTGTTAGCTCTTTATCTTTACGCCATAGAAGCAGTAGTCCTGTTCCTTTTTGAGCTTCAAGCACAGTGCTACTAAAAGAAATCCGATTGGGTGAATCAATTTGAGCCCCGCACCAGTTTGAGCCCCGCACCAGTTTGAACCCCGCACCAGTTTGAGCCCCGCATCAGTTCGCATCCCAGTATTCGCAGATCTATGGCTGTACAGCACCTTCACTGGCATTCACTCATTTGATCCGATTATCATTTGAGGAAAGCGGTACTTCTTCTTGAAATACACAGCGTGCACTAGATATACATTTAACACGTGCCTTGTTTCACAGTTAGTTTAAAAACACCAGATTCAATGGTTCTTACCGCTCTATATAGCTGGTATCTTGCTCTCCTAAGATATCCTTTGTCTGCCCATGCGAATGCACTTTCAAGTGCCTTAGCTGATACGATGCGGTTATAGTGACAGTTAACTTGCAGGTTGGGTGGGAGATCACCTATACGTTCCCTGACTCTGCGTACTTCTAGCGAGGCTTCCTTCACCTCCAGCATACTTTTCATGACATTTAAGCAGGTCAGCTTAGCCTTGAGAATCGTAAACTCATCAAGCTCATTGGGTACATCAGGCTGATCCAAGCAGAACACACAGTCGCGGCATTCTTCTGACTGGATATCTGCCAGAGGCAATGTAATGGCAACACCACTACCACTTGATTGGGTACTTTGGCCCGCATAGGCTTCGAGTATGTTACAATTGTTCTCAGCCGAGACTTCCAGGGATATATTACGCACAACTGTGCTAAGCAATCCACCCAAGCAGTCGGCAAAGGACTCTGGAATCTTCTCCGATGAGTCAATGTAGTAGTGCATTCCATTACCAGCCTTACTCACTGCTTGCAACAACTGGGCATTGTGATCGGCACCAAAGCCAAATGTGTAAATACTTGCAGCCACAACGTCACTAGGTTCAGTAGAATTAGCTATTGTAGATGTTACTACAGGTTTTATTGCTGGTGCCGACGCTGCCTGTAGGGATGGTAGTGGTTGTTTTAATGCTGCTTGTGCTAGAGTTGGCAGTTGTAATGGGCTCGGTTCTACTGTTCGTTGTGTTGATGGTGGACATGGTACTGTCGGTTCTTGTGCTGGAGCTGGGAAGTTGTTATGAGCACGGTAGTTGCCAGAAGGATACAGGCCATGGCGTCCTCGTTGTGTTAAGCAAGCAATTATTTCTTGCTGTGAGGTGAAGCCCAAATCGGCTTTACCATCCGTCATCAGAAGAATAGACGACACAGATGCATTCTTCTTTTCAGCATTCGCGTCTCCACTGTATTTTTCTTTCTGCAGATCTTCAATCATGGCTAACCCTTCCACAAGTCCTCCACATAGATTTGTGCCTACTTTTGTATTCAATAGCTCAATGAGAGAGGTCGCTTCCTCTTTTCCGCTCGCATCCATCCTCCTTAGTGTACCAGTTGATGATACTTGCTGGTCGTAAAACACGATCCCCAGCTTGTCGTGTTCATTCACTATCAACATAATACATGAAGAGAAAGTCACATTAGATGAAGTCACACAGGAATTGAAGGAGGTCTCTGAATGATCAGGGCTGAGGCTGAAAAGTGAAAGCATACTTGTACATTTTTAGGGGGTCTATAATTATAGTCTTCAAGGACTCCGGAGTTTCTGTCATAGCACACCGGTGCACCAGCTCACAGAGGCTTGCAGTATGTCATCGTGTACATACTGTTTTCTCTACCATTAATTGTTGTCTCAGTTTCCATTGACCGTGGTGGATTGTACCAAGTCTTAGGTTCAACTGCTATGTTTGTGTGGAGACGAGCAACGCACAGGATACTGTGCATCATTCCACGAGTTCTACTACTACTAGTACTACAGTCGTAGCCAAAAAATGCCGGCCAATGCCCATAGCACAGAACTGATCAGTCCGCAGTCAAGCACTGTACTGAGTGTGTGCAGGCAGGCCAGGCAACAGGGAAAAGTCCAGTCAAGCAATGTACTGAGTGCGTGCAGGCAGGCCAGGCAACAGGGCAAAGTCCAGTCAACTACAGACTACTGTACTTGTAGTACTGTCGGTCGCCGAAGAACTGGGGGTCAGCTTCCTAGCCTAGACCGTTCTTATGTCCATGATTATACAGATACATGTATTACAGTCTATGCACAGTTGAGTCACCACGTATACATTGTTATACTGAGTTTGTGTACAAACTCCCCTCTCTCCTCAAACACTTCAGACTTGTATTTTCCATATAAACATGGTACTTCGATGAAGAGAATATAGACTGGTATATAGACTAGTGTATAAACTGGTTTATACCTCACTCCATATAAACTTAGAGTCTTAAAGCACGCTCTCCCTTAGTGGTGTATACATCTACATATACACCGCTAAGGGAACTTAGCAGTAGTTGTCGGCGAGGAACAAGCCATTAGGAGGTCACACGCGGTGAATATGGAGAGGTATAAATATATAATTAATTTTATACCTCGCTCCATATACACCCACACTCATATACCAGATCTCCCATGAAGTTTATAAATTTCAATATACACTGTTCAATATACACCACTAAGGGGTCGTCCGCAATTATCGAAAGTTTTTTCCAATCCGTAGTAGCTTCGAAAGTGGGTGGGTGGGTCAAGGCCAGTTACGGATTGAAAAACTTCCGAAATGACACGTGCGCGTGCCACGTGTACGTCTACGTGTAGCCCCTGTTTTCCACGCGCGGCTGCGCGCGAACTGTCTACTACAAATATTTTTTGTAGTTCTGGCAGTTTCTGCGCCCCCGCGCGCGCTTCCTTGGCTGCTCCTGGGCCGGGGATCATAAAGTTCGGCGCATTCGACGGCGAGTCGACACTTTCTATTTTTGAGTTTCACTGTCTCCTTCGTCCAGAGTACCGTCTTCCATGCACTCCTTTGAAGTCCTTCCGTCTAGCGCTGGCGCTGACGACTGTTATTGACTATGTCCAGACAGGCGACGTTGTTTGGAAAGGCGGTGAAGAAGCAGCCCTTTTTCAAAACCGCTGGTGACTCTGATTATTACAGAACAATAAATTGCTTGTGGCAGTTGTCCAAGACGACGAACAAGAATGTATTCTTTGCCGAAGCGAAAAAGGAATGGACGAGTTTGTTCCATATGTGTTGGGTTGTGTGTCCATCAATAATATTTTATTACGGACTGGGGGGGGGGGGGGGGGGGGGGTGGGTGAGGAAAAATTTGAAGCTACCACGGATTAGAAAAAACTTTAGATAATTGCGGACGACCCCTATATACCTATATACACCACTGAGGATAACCATAAAAAACCCACTGAGGAGCTTTCTTTCTCTAAAAAGGAGTGAATATAGCTTTCTTTCTCTAAAGCTATATTCACTCCTTTTTAGGGAAAGAAAGCTGTATTCACTCCTTTTTAGGGAAAGAAAGCTGCATTCACTCCTTTTTGCTCTTGAGCTTGCGTATGAAGAGGTATAAATATATTATAACAAGGGACCTCGTGTATATAGAGAAATATCGACCAGTTATAAAAACCTCGGCTTCGCCTGGGTTCAAGTTTTATACTGGTCTATATTTCTCGATATACACTCGGTCCCTTGTTATAATATATAAGTATTTATTATAACAAAGGGACCTCGTGTATATCGAGATAAACATGATTGTATACACAAGTTATAAAAACCTCGGCTTCGCCTCGGTTTTCATACTGGTGTATGTATCTCTATAACTATACACTCGGTTCCTAGTTATAATATATACATATAAACTCCTTTTTTTAGGATCAGACTAGGGCAACAGTAAGAAAGATGAGCGACCAATGATGGGGACTGGATAGTAATTCAGCATTTGTGAAGCTTACATGGCAGAAAACAGTGGGGTAGGGTGGAATAGTACGGTAGCAACAGAAGAAAGCAGGATTGAGCTCGAGTATGTCAAAAAGCTGCACTGGGCCATTTCAGTTGTCGAGAGTGGGAAAACCTCATCTCTGCGCCAAAACAATGGTTTAAGAGTGCTTGCGCGTCAGCATAGCTTGGGCTTTGGAGGCACACACAGCATGTTTATTGAACGTAATTGGACAGTTAAGAAATGCTGATGAACCAGTTGCATTGAGGTAGTGTACGCTTCTCGTTGGCTGAGAATTCGAAAGAAACAAGAAGCAATGTTCTCTCGAACTTCGAATATTTGCGAAGCTTGATTTTTGCTAACTGTATCATTTTTGTTGTGGCACGCAGTGCAGGTTGTGGCACGCAGTGCAGGTTGTGGCACGCAGTGCAGGTTGTGGCACGCAGTGCAGGTTGTGGCACGCAGTGCAGGTTGTGGCACGCAGTGCAGGTTGTGGCACGCAGTGCAGGTTGTGGCACGCAGTGCAGGTTGTGGCACGCAGTGCAGGTTGTGGCACGCAGTGCAGGTTGTGGCACGCAGTGCAGGTTGTGGCACGCAGTGCAGGTTGTGGCACGCAGTGCAGGTTGTGGCACGCAGTGCAGGTTGTGGCACGCAGTGCAGGTTGTGGCACGCAGTGCAGGTTGTGGCACGCAGTGCAGGTTGTGGCACGCAGTGCAGGTTGTGGCACGCAGTGCAGGTTGTGGCACGCAGTGCAGGTTGTGGCACGCAGTGCAGGTTGTGGCACGCAGTGCAGGTTGTGGCACGCAGTGCAGGTTGTGGCACGCAGTGCAGGTTGTGGCACGCAGTGCAGGTTGTGGCACGCAGTGCAGGTTGTGGCACGCAGTGCAGGTTGTGGCACGCAGTGCAGGTTGTGGCACGCAGTGCAGGTTGTGGCACGCAGTGCAGGTTGTGGCACGCAGTGCAGGTTGTGGCACGCAGTGCAGGTTGTGGCACGCAGTGCAGGTTGTGGCACGCAGTGCAGGTTGTGGCACGCAGTGCAGGTTGTGGCACGCAGTGCAGGTTGTGGCACGCAGTGCAGGTTGTGGCACGCAGTGCAGGTTGTGGCACGCAGTGCAGGTTGTGGCACGCAGTGCAGGTTGTGGCACGCAGTGCAGGTTGTGGCACGCAGTGCAGGTTGTGGCACGCAGTGCAGGTTGTGGCACGCAGTGCAGGTTGTGGCACGCAGTGCAGGTTGTGGCACGCAGTGCAGGTTGTGGCACGCAGTGCAGGTTGTGGCACGCAGTGCAGGTTGTGGCACGCAGTGCAGGTTGTGGCACGCAGTGCAGGTTGTGGCACGCAGTGCAGGTTGTGGCACGCAGTGCAGGTTGTGGCACGCAGTGCAGGTTGTGGCACGCAGTGCAGGTTGTGGCACGCAGTGCAGGTTGTGGCACGCAGTGCAGGTTGTGGCACGCAGTGCAGGTTGTGGCACGCAGTGCAGGTTGTGGCACGCAGTGCAGGTTGTGGCACGCAGTGCAGGTTGTGGCACGCAGTGCAGGTTGTGGCACGCAGTGCAGGTTGTGGCACGCAGTGCAGGTTGTGGCACGCAGTGCAGGTTGTGGCACGCAGTGCAGGTTGTGGCACGCAGTGCAGGTTGTGGCACGCAGTGCAGGTTGTGGCACGCAGTGCAGGTTGTGGCACGCAGTGCAGGTTGTGACACGCAGTGCAGGTTGTGGCACGCAGTGCAGGTTGTGGCACGCAGTGCAGGTTGTGGCACGCAGTGCAGGTTGTGGCACGCAGTGCAGGTTGTGGCACGCAGTGCAGGTTGTGGCACGCAGTGCAGGTTGTGGCACGCAGTGCAGGTTGTGGCACGCAGTGCAGGTTGTGGCACGCAGTGCAGGTTGTGGCACGCAGTGCAGGTTGTGGCACGCAGTGCAGGTTGTGGCACGCAGTGCAGGTTGTGGCACGCAGTGCAGGTTGTGGCACGCAGTGCAGGTTGTGGCACGCAGTGCAGGTTGTGGCACGCAGTGCAGGTTGTGGCACGCAGTGCAGGTTGTGGCACGCAGTGCAGGTTGTGGCACGCAGTGCAGGTTGTGGCACGCAGTGCAGGTTGTGGCACGCAGTGCAGGTTGTGACACGCAGTGCAGGTTGTGACACGCAGTGCAGGTTGTGGCACGCAGTGCAGGTTGTGGCACGCAGTGCAGGTTGTGGCACGCAGTGCAGGTTGTGGCACGCAGTGCAGGTTGTGGCACGCAGTGCAGGTTGTGGCACGCATTGCAGGTTGTGGCACGCAGTGCAGGTTGTGGCACGCAGTGCAGGTTGTGGCACGCAGTGCAGGTTGTGGCACGCAGTGCAGGTTGTGGCACGCAGTGCAGGTTGTGGCACGCAGTGCAGGTTGTGGCACGCAGTGCAGGTTGTGCCACGCAGTGCAGGTTGTGCCACGCAGTGCAGGTTGTGGCACGCAGTGCAGGTTGTGGCACGCAGTGCAGGTTGTGGCACGCAGTGCAGGTTGTGACACGCAGTGCAGGTTGTGACACGCAGTGCAGGTTGTGACACGCAGTGCAGGTTGTGGCACGCAGTGCAGGTTGTGGCACGCAGTGCAGGTTGTGGCACGCAGTGCAGGTTGTGGCACGCAGTGCAGGTTGTGGCACGCAGTGCAGGTTGTGGCACGCAGTGCAGGTTGTGGCACGCAG